TTTCGTATCTTCAATTGAAAAATGATAGTTTATATTTTTATCTAAACCTTTTCTCAAAATTTATGTAATAGATATTTATCTTTAGATTATGTTCAGCATGGAGAAAGTTTTTCCTGTTGAAAAAATTTGATGTATGCTATCACTAATTGTATTTGATTTTTAAAAATAAATTAAATAAAAATTTGATAAAATCTAATAAAATTATGTGATCCAAGTTTTGATAAATTTTATCTCAAATTTATATAATATGATATGAATAAGTATATGATTTAAAATAAAATAAAATTATTTGATGAGATTGTCTAAAAAATTATTATTATGAGTTAAGTTCTCGCTCTTATTCCAAAAACTCTAACATTATAAATAATTGAGTTAGGAATTATTAATTATCATTATAAAAAAATTGAGTAGAGAAGAAGAGACTCAAGTTTTAATACTAATCATATTTGTTTTACATAATGAAATTATGATAATTTTCAATAATGTTTGAGTAACATATTAATTATAAAAATTTAAGTGTATAATTTATTTATTTTGTTTTATCTAAATATCTTAAATTTTACATATATTGATCTTTATCAAACCATGTTATACATAAATTTAGGATTTAAGATTGTTTTTATAATTATATTTGTTGTGTTCTCTGACTTAAAAGTTGGAATATCTTGGTTTTGTTGTTGCGTGAATAATAAAATTCAAAACTTGAAACGATTAATTAAAATGGTTGATTTTATTGCTGTGGGTTTTGCCAATCTGATATAATTTTAATTTGCAATTTGTCAAGTTGTTTTGTTTTTAAATTGTGAATAGATTTTGGGGTTATGATTAGTGAATAATCAAGAGGCTTTGGAATATTTATAAAATATTTTGCTATCATTTCTTTGATGCTAATCTAGAACAATCATCAGCAAAAAATACGGCAGAAACAGCCAGAAGTAGGGGTGGACAAAAATCGGTTTTGGTTAAAATTAAAATCGATTTTAAAATAATCAAATTTTTTTTTTTTAATTTGAAGAACCAAAATCAAATCAAAATTTTTACAAATCGATTGGTTTGATTGTCAATAAAATCGATTTGATTTC